CCATTTTGGCCCCGCCCTCCCCCCGGGGGGTATGATTTAACAAATTTGAATCTACACTACCTGAGGATGATTCCACCTGAGTTTCATCTTTCCTGGCCCAGTGGTTCTTGAGAAGAAGTTTTTTAAAAAATCCCAAATTTTCTCTTATTCATGTTTATCTCCCCTTGGAAAAGGGCGTGGCCCTTCATTTGAACAAACTTGAATCCCCTTTCCCCAAGGATATTTTGTGGCAAGTTTGGTTAAAATTCCCCAGCGGTTCTTGAGAAGAAGATGAAAATGTGAAAAGTTTACAACGAAAACCCGACGACAACGACTACGACGACAGACAACGGACAAATTTTGATCAGAAAAGCTCACTTGAGCCTTCGGCTCAGGTGAGCTAAAAAGTGCACCAAAAATGTTAACCTGCTCCAAAAACATTAACCTGGTCATTCCTCTGCTGAAATTGCAGCATCTGAAACTTTGACTGGTACAATGAAACACACTAGAAGCATCTTCCATGCATGTCTAATCAATATAGGACATAGAAGTACTTAAAAAGAAAACTGCTCCAAAAAACTTAACCTGGGCGCCGACCCCGACGCCGACGCCGCCCGGGGTTTTACTAAGCTCCCCCAACTTCGTTGAGGTGAGCTAAAAAGTGAAAATGAAAATATATGCATGCCATATATCCCACATATTTAGAATCAAAACAAAAAGTAAATAACTTAGGATTAATCTTTTGTAAATTCCTCCTTTTCTCTAATTAGATTCCTAATTAATATCTCTTTGATCACCATTTAGTAAGTCTGAATTCCATGGCCATGGGTAACATCAAAATGAATTATGAAATTAAATCATATAATTTATACAAAAGGACTTATTAATATTCTAACCCTTAATCATGTGTTAATATATTTTAGGTTAAATAAGGGTGTGCTTATATGAATGTAAGTTAGAGACAACAGATCACATAAGTATTACACAGTAATTAAATTAACCATATAATCATGCTTAAATGCAAAGATGACCTTCATAGGAAATGTAAACAATTAAAAAACAAGACAAACTTACCAGAGATATCCAAATATATGCCCAATAAGTCTATCAATTAAATAATCCAGTGAAATAACATCTCAGCTGATCCTGAAAAAATCATACAATTCAGTGATACACAATTAACCTCATTTTACAATGTAAGTAAAGCAATAATTTACAGTCAAAAGGGACAGAAATGTAAAAAGATACCATGTATTTTACCAAAATTTAGAGAACATTTTTCTGATTTAAATTCAATCATAGAATGACCCATCATAGAAATATTAAATGCACTCTGAGTTACATGCAGGTTATACATGTACAAGTGTAAATCACATGAAATGAGGATAAATACAGTATTGACATTCAAAACAGAACTTCACATAATTATGATAAAATGCAAAGATGACCTTCATAGGAAATGTAAACAAAACAAAGACAAACTTACCAGAATTATCCAATTATATGCCAATAAGTCTACCAATTAAATAATCCAGTGAAACAACATCTTAGCTGATCCTGAAAAAAAGCATACAATATTCAGTGATAGTCAATTTAACCTCATTTTACAAAGGAAGTAAAGCAACAATTGACAGACAAACAGGACAGAAAAACATGTTTAAATGTAATGCAAAATAATATCTCTTTAATATGGATCCTATACTCTAATCAATCATATTAAATGTCATTCGTAAAATGTATTTTTTAAGACAGATTTATTTAGGATCGACTTTAAATGATGACATGAATAGCAGGCCATACTTTAACCACATGTCAAAACATTCTCTCAAATTACACAGAAATGGATTATTTAGCATAGCTGACATTAAACATATAGGTGAGCGATAACATAATCACAATCATAAACAATGTGAAACAACATTAAACGACCTACACTGTGGATTACAAGCCTTTTTCACTGGGGGAAAATCCTCCGAAATTTGCCATGGCCGCCCGAAACCCCGAACCCGACTGATAAAAGATGAAGTCATACAATAACATAACACTGATGTAGTATTACATGATTTTTTTTTAAAATTTTTTTTCTTTAAAAAATATAAGGGGAGTTTACCAACAAAAAAAAAAATTTAAAAAGAAAAAAAAAAAAATTTATAAATTAAAAAAAAGAAAAAAAAAAAAAAAAAATTTATAAAAAAAAAAAAAAAAATTTAAAAAATTTAAAAAAAAATTTTTTTTTAAAAAATACCTGGTGTTATAACTTGACAGACATACAGTGTAACACACACATGTTTTTTGTATTGTGTGTTATTTGTTATTGTCTTTCAGTAAAAAATTCAGTTCAAACTGGTTAGGCTGGCTAGACTAGGCTGTCTAGACTGTAAATGGAAATTACCATAATCACATTGTATTTATCAGTGAATGACGTCACAATGCATAGGTAAATTTATCGTACTTTTTGCACACAGCACTTTACAGATGATGCAAACAGGTTTTAAGAAAACACAGGTAAAAGGGATATTTCTTTTGCACACGACCCCTAATGTTTTGCACACGGCACTTTATGAGGATGCAAACAGGTATAAAAAAGCAGGTAAAACGTATTATTTTGTTTTAATCTTTTGTGTGTGTGTTATTTGTTTTTTTTTGTAAAAAAAAATCCAGTTTGAACTGGTTTAGGCTAAGCTTTTGACTGTGAATGAAATCGTGACGTCATAATCACATTCTTGAAATGTTTTACACACGGCGCAAGTATTATACCTGTGTAGTTAGCATAAACAAAACGTAGTACCAACGTTAGTGTATAATGTAAACACGGTGTAAACCCGCCCCTATTTAGGGCAAGGATAGGTTAGGGTTCAAAGGGGTTAGGGTTAGAGGGGGCTAAGGGGGATAGGGTTAGTTAGGGCTAGGGGGGTTTGGGTTAGGGTTAGTTAGGGCTGGGGGGGGTTTGGGTTTTTGGTAGGGGTTAGGGTTAGTTAGGGGTTTGGGGTAATTAGGGGTAGGGGGGTTAGGGTTAGTTAGGGTTAGGACTGCACTCAGTTGACCCCCCTATCCCTACCCCAGGGGGACTGTACTGAGTTGACCCCCTATCCCCCCAGACCCCCCCCAAACCTGCACTCCCTTGACCCCCTTATCCCCCTCAACCAATCAGAACTGATCACGTGATTCCTCTCAGCCAATCAGAATGCGGTCCTATCGGGGCCCCTTATACTACTGGGGGGGGGGGGGGGCTAAATTGTGATGGCCTTGATGTCAATTATGCTTAGACAAAAAACTAGATAAAAGCACCATTCTTACGAGCCTTGTGAGTCTAGATACATTTACTTTATCCAATGGATCACCTTTACCTGCAGGTATTCACCTCTGTTGTGAATTTCGTTATTTCAAATTGTTAGCACTTAGCAATCTGTCCAAATCATTTTTTGGGGGTGGGGGTGGGGTTGTCTAAATCATTTTGGGGGGGGGTAATTAATCCTATGATTTTTTGAGGACTATACTTCTTGTTTATTTGTGAAGAGATATGCTAAGTTAAATTTACATTCATAATTTTTTTTCTCTTTTTACTGCCAATCACTGCCTCAAATCAAATGAACATAAAACTTATAAAAGAAAAGCCAGCAAGAATTCTTGACTAGATTATCTCTTTAAAACTAACTGCATTAACATGATTAAGTTATACATATAAAATTACATTCAAATACATCTAATTTTTATAAATAATAAATAAATAATGTATCATTTTTATCATTCCTTATAAAAACAAAGCATGTCAAAATGTCAACATGCTCATTTTTTCCCAAATCCTTTTCTCTCCCTTGTACTTTCACTTTATGCATCCTTTTGGTGTACTTTCATTTTCACTCTAAGCTTCAATAATGCTTAGACCTACTTCTTTTCACAGTGTCAATCACAACGGTTTCTTTTCTTTACCAGTTAAGTCAAAGAATCAATGAGCCTTTGTTTGTGTCTCTTTGTTGATCCAAAAACTTTTGGATTCTGTCACTGGAATCGGAGGCTGGGAGGGTGAAAATATCCTGATGAATTCATTTCAAGATGATGTTCATTGTCAGTTTTTCTCCTTGTTGAATGCCTTCACTTCATCCTGAGTCAGGAGAGGGCAGGCAAACATTATTTCCTTTTTCTCTGTCTCAACTCACTTCACTGTCTGTGACTGACCAGGCCCCGGACAGCATTAAGTACATGTGAACTGGCCCCCTCTGTCTTCTGGAGGTGTTTCTTCTGATGATAAGTTAGCTCCCCTTTAGTACTAAATCCATGGCCACAGACGGGGCATAAAAACAGGGTAGCTAACTCATGCTCCCTCAAGTGACTCTCATATTTAACTAAATTTCTGTAAAGAAAGATAATACTCTATTACTGGTCAAAAAGAAATGTGCACTAGCTAAAACTTTTTATATATTTTTTTTCTAATTTTAAAAACTCTGTGACATATAAGGCAATTAATGGTTCCTTTGTCATCCTTACTTTTTACAAGCTAATTCAGAGAATTTGTGTCCCCCGCTTAAGGAAAAAGTGAAACATGCGCAGTTCGGGGGGAAGGGGAGGGGGGTAGTCGGATCCCCCTCACTGGATTTGTAGAATTATTAAATGTATACATGCATGTATACTGAAGCAAATAAAATATATAATTATGGATATAAAGATTTAATTGCTTATTCTTTATTATGTGTATAGAAGATTCTTTTTACATGGAATATTTATCACACTGTAATGATGATTTTATGAGTTTGTACAAGCCAGACCTCGTAAATTTCTCATTTCGCATGCTGAATACTATAATTTAGTTTAAATAAAGGTATTTCTAAAAAAAAGGTCCGTCCGGGACTTGAATTCGGGACCTCTCACATGGGAAGCGAGAAACATACCACTATACCGTGGAATCGCTTTACAAGAAGTCAAGTATAAGCAGAAGTGAAGTCACATACATGTATATATCCATGTTCGGTATTGTCAAAATTTTACACAATCCATGGTGTTTGATTTATTTAGCCTTTATTAAACAGTTCTAATAGATGTAATAAGAACATAAAGTCCGCTGAAAACCTCTTTTATACGCAATAACTCTCCTCATGCCCCTGTGCTAAAAATAGCGACATGTAATACCATAAATACTAATAAAACAAACGGGGCGGGGCACTTTGAGAGGGGTGAGAGAGGTCCTAGGGAGTTTTGGTATAAAATTACATTGCATAAGCTCAAAATCTTCTTGAAATATCGCTTGGAAATGATAGTTACACACAGACAGAATTTATAAATTTATGACCTTGAACTTTGACCTTTTGACCTCAAAATCAATAGGGGTCTTCATTAGGCCACAGGAAGTTGTTATTCTAAAATTTCATTGCAATAGCTCAAATGGTTCTAGAGATATCGTGTGGAAACAAAAGAGTTATAACAGACAGAATTTGCTTATTTATGACCTTGACCTTTGACCTTTTGACCTCAAAATCAATGGGATTCTTCTTTATTCCATAAGGAGTTGCTATGCAAAATTTCATTGCAAAAGCTCAAAGGTTTCTTGAGATATCGTGACAAAGACGGACGGACAAACCCAAATTAATATCCCCCACTTTTTAAGCGGGGGACAAAAAACTGACATATTGGGCATTTAATGGTTCGTTTGTCTACCTTACATTTTAAAAACTCTGTGACATATAAGGCAGTTAATGGTTTGTTTGTTGATCTTACTTTTCAAAAACTCTGTCACATATAGGGCAGTTAATGGTTTCTTTGTCCCTGTTATGAATGGTAAGATGAAGGGCCCTGCTTGCTGCTGAGAATTGTTTGCCACACTGCTCACAGGGAAACTTATCTGTCAATCAAACGAAAGCTTGTTATCTATTTGCCCTTTTACCCAAGCAAACATTTTTGCCCTGCTTTAATTCCAACCAGACACAGTTTTGTTAAAAGGATTATGTAGTGTTTGAAAATTGCCCCTGGCCATTTTAAATTAGGCCTCTAGCAATGAGGGCAAAAGGGGTGAAGATTTTCATGAAGACACAGAACAAAATTTGACAATACCTGTTGGGTGTTTACTGGTTTGTTTCTCTTTGTTGTGACTGTTGAGATGGATAGTCCTTCCTGCCTGGCTGGAGAATTCTCTACCACAATGTTTACATGGGTACTTATCTGTTAATCAAAAAAAAAAACTTGTTATTCATTGGCTGAGTTTTTGCAGAGAAACACCCTTTCTGTCAATGAGAAAAAAAAATATCACAGATATTACGAATTCAGGAATATTGCCAAGTTATCTTGCATCCCCTGCTTATTTATCCAATTCCTTATACTGATATAACAAATAATGATTATAGTGAAGTAATTTCATAAGTCCCAGTCACTTTATTATAACCCAAGTTTTACTGTACTTTATTCTTCAAACAAAATCGGTGTGATCCTCCATGTGTTTGTCTAGCGGGTGACTATATTTACCTGTGTGATTCTCCATGTGTTTTTCTAGTGACTATATTTACCTGTGTGATTCTCCATGTGTTTGTCTTGTGACTATATTTACCGGTGTGATTCTCCATGTGTTTGTCTAGTGACTATATTTACCAGTGTGATTCTCCATGTGTTTGTCTTGTGACTATATTTACAGTGTGTTTCTCCATGTGTTTGTCTAGTGACTATATTTACCTGTGTGATTCTCCAGGTGTCTAGTGACTATATTTACCAGTGTGATCCTTCATGTGTTTGTCTAGTGACTATATTTACCTGTGTGATTCTCCATGTGTTTGTCTTGTGACTATATTTACAGTGTGTTTCTCCATGTGTTTGTCTTGTGACTATATTTTCCTGTGTGATTCTCCTGGTGTCTAGTGACTATATTTACCCGTGTGATCCTTCATGTGTTTGTCTAGTGACTATATTTACCTGTGTGACTCTCCAAGTGTTTGTCTAGTGGGTGACTATATTTACCTGTGTGATTCTCCATGTGTTTGTCTAGTGACTATATTTACCACTGTGATTCTCAATGTGTTTGTCTAGTGTCTATATTTACCTGTGTGACTCTCCAAGTGTTTGTCTAGTGGGTGACTATATTTACCAGTGTGATTCTCCATGTGTTTGTCTAGTGACTATATTTACCTGTGTGATTCTCCATGTGTTTGTCTAGTGACTATATTTACCTGTGTGATTCTCCATGTGTTTTTCTAGTGACTATATTTACCGGTGTGATTCTCCATGTGTTTGTCTAGTGACTATATTTACCAGTGTGATTCTCCATGTGTTTGTCTAGTGACTATATTTACAGTGTGTTTCTCCATGTGTTTGTCTAGTGACTATATTTACCTGTGTGATTCTCCAGGTGTTTGTCTTGTGACTATATTTACCTGTGTGATTCTCCAGGTGTCTAGTGACTATATTTACCAGTGTGATCCTTCATGTGTTTGTCTAGTGACTATATTTACCTGTGTGACTCTCCAAGTGTTTGTCTAGTGGGTGACTATATTTACCTGTGTGATTCTCCATGTGTTTGTCTAGTGACTATATTTACCACTGTGATTCTCCATGTGTTTGTCTAGTGTCTATATTTACCTGTGTGACTCTCCAAGTGTTTGTCTAGTGGGTGACTATATTTACCAGTGTGATTCTCCATGTGTTTGTCTAGTGACTATATTTACCTGTGTGATTCTCCATGTGTTTGTCTAGTGACTATATTTACCTGTGTGATTCTCCATGTGTTTTTCTAGTGACTATATTTACCTGTGTGACTCTCCAAGTGTTTGTCTAGTGGGTGACTATATTTACCAGTGTGATTCTCCATGTGTTTGTCTTGTGACTATATTTACCTGTGTGATTCTCCAGGTGTCTAGTGACTATATTTACCAGTGTGATCCTTCATGTGTTTGTCTAGTGACTATATTTACCTGTGTGACTCTCCAAGTGTTTGTCTAGTGGGTGACTATATTTACCTGTGTGATTCTCCATGTGTTTGTCTAGTGACTATATTTACCACTGTGATTCTCAATGTGTTTGTCTAGTGTCTATATTTACCTGTGTGACTCTCCAAGTGTTTGTCTAGTGGGTGACTATATTTACCAGTGTGATTCTCCATGTGTTTGTCTAGTGACTATATTTACCTGTGTGATTCTCCATGTGTTTGTCTAGTGACTATATTTACCTGTGTGATTCTCCATGTGTTTTTCTAGTGACTATATTTACCGGTGTGATTCTCCATGTGTTTGTCTAGTGACTATATTTACCAGTGTGATTCTCCATGTGTTTGTCTAGTGACTATATTTACAGTGTGTTTCTCCATGTGTTTGTCTAGTGACTATATTTACCTGTGTGATTCTCCAGGTGTTTGTCTTGTGACTATATTTACCTGTGTGATTCTCCAGGTGTCTAGTGACTATATTTACCAGTGTGATCCTTCATGTGTTTGTCTAGTGACTATATTTACCTGTGTGACTCTCCAAGTGTTTGTCTAGTGGGTGACTATATTTACCTGTGTGATTCTCCATGTGTTTGTCTAGTGACTATATTTACCACTGTGATTCTCCATGTGTTTGTCTAGTGTCTATATTTACCTGTGTGACTCTCCAAGTGTTTGTCTAGTGGGTGACTATATTTACCAGTGTGATTCTCCATGTGTTTGTCTAGTGACTATATTTACCTGTGTGATTCTCCATGTGTTTGTCTAGTGACTATATTTACCTGTGTGATTCTCCATGTGTTTTTCTAGTGACTATATTTACCTGTGTGATTCTCCATGTGTTTGTCTAGTGACTTTATTTACCTGTGTGACCCTCCAAGTGTTTGTCTAGCGGGTGACTATTTTTACCTGTGTGATTCTCCATGTGTTTGTCTAGTGACTATATTTACCTGTGTGATTCTCCATGTGTTTGTCTAGTGACCATATTTACTGGTGTGATTTTCCATGTGTTTGTCTAGTGACCATATTTACTGGTGTGATTTTCCATGTGTTTGTCTAGTGACTATATTTACCTGTACGACTCTCCAAGTGTTTATCTAGTGACCATATTTACCTGTGTGATTCTCCATGTGTTTGTCTAGCTAGTGACTATATTTACCTGTGTGATTCTCCAAGTGTTTGTCTAGCGGGTGACTATTTTTACCTGTGTGATTCTCCATGTGTTTGTCTAGTGACTATATTTACCTGTGTGATTCTCCATGTGTTTGTCTAGTGACCATATTTACTGGTGTGATTTTCCATGTGTTTGTCTAGTGACCATATTTACTGGTGTGATTTTCCATGTGTTTGTCTAGTGACTATATTTACCTGTACGACTCTCCAAGTGTTTATCTAGTGACCATATTTACCTGTGTGATTCTCCATGTGTTTGTCTAGCTAGTGACTATATTTACCTGTGTGATTCTCCAAGTGTTTGTCTAGCGGGTGACTATTTTTACCTGTGTGATTCTCCATGTGTTTGTCTAGTGACTATATTTACCTGTGTGATTCTCCATGTGTTTGTCTAGTGACCATATTTACTGGTGTGATTTTCCATGTGTTTGTCTAGTGACCATATTTACTGGTGTGATTTTCCATGTGTTTGTCTAGTGACTATATTTACCTGTACGACTCTCCAAGTGTTTATCTAGTGACCATATTTACCTGTGTGATTCTCCATGTGTTTGTCTAGCTAGTGACTATATTTACCTGTGTGACTCTCCAAGTGTTTTTCTAGCGGGTGACTATATTTACCTGTGTGATTCTTCATGTGTTTGTCTAGTGACTATATTTACCTGTGTGATTCTCCATGTGTTTGTCTAGTGACTATATTTACCTGTGTGATTCTCCATGTGTTTGTCTAGCTGGTTTTTGCGGTAGAACCCTTTCCCACACTTGATACAGTAAGTCAGCCCCTTCTGAAAGTGCATCCTCATGTGAGTCTGGAAGTTCTTTTCGTGGAGGAATTGTTCATCACATTTAAAACATCTGGAATTAAAATATCTCAACCTTAAGTTTAAGTGTTTTATTTTATACATTTTATTTAAACATGTTAAAAGTAAGACCATTCTCAAAATATTGTGTGTTTGCTTTCCCATGACTCAAAGTAAAAATAAAAAATGAGATCAGTAAGTAGGTGCTGTGGGAAAGTTGTTGACAATGCAAGATTCAAAGGGAAAAAAAATAGATAAATATATCATTCCTGGAGGTTAAAATTTTTGAGACTGACATTTTTAGCCAAGAGAGGGCAAACAAACAATTTTTTAAAGATGGCCTAAATCAAGAGTTAACCCCATCCAATTGTTCGATGTCACATTCTCTTGTTGAAGCAGCATGAGTTTAACTGATAAAATCTTCTCCTTACCTTCTATTAATTTAAATTAGAATGTACTTACTGAATCTTTCTCTTTGTGGTGTCTGAGGGCTCCTCTTTGTGGGTCCTGAGATGAACTTTAAGGTAGCTTGCTGCTGTACAGATCCTCCCACATATAAAACACTGATACTGCTTCTTCTCCAGGTTGTGTGCTCGCTCGTGTACCTATCAGGAGTAAAATAACAGATAAAACACTGATACTGCTTCTTCTCCAGGTTGTGTGCTCGCTCCTGTACCTATCAGTAGTAAATTAACAGATAAAACACTGATACTGCTTCTTCTCCAGGTTGTGCGCTCTCTCGTGTACCTGTCTGGTGTTAAATAACAGATAAAATACTGATACTGCTTCTTCTCCAGGTTGTGCGCTGGCTCGTGTACCTGTCAACAGCAAAATAACATATAAAACACTGAAACTGCTTCTTCTCCAGGTTGTGCGCTCGCTCGTGTACCTGTCAGGGATAAAATTAAAGATTTCAGTTCATGTTCCAGTGTATCTTATAGCTAGCAACACACTTAGGGTGCTTTTGGGTTGTTTAGGGACATCATGTTCACTGTGTTTTCTTTATTCTCAAAGGAATATCAATCATACAAAGAGATATTTTGAACCACTTCAGGCTAATGTAACCATGAATTGAAAAATATTGACATGAGTGTGGAAATATTATTGAAACTGAATGAGAGTCATTGTTCCCACAGTGGGAATTACCTCTATTACCTTGGGGTCAGAGAACCTTAAGGGAATAATTTACTCACCATTAATGTTCCAGCATGTTTGAATTTCTTTCCACAAGTTTTACAGTTGTAGAGCCAAAACTGTCCTGTATCTGAACCAGTCCTTTTCTCTGTTGGTAAGGTCTGTTCTCTCTCGTTCTCTCCATACAAGAGTTCTGGAGGAATTCCTGAATTCTCTAGTGCAGCATTAACAGCATTAACAATAGCCAGATTCTGCTTCTCTTCCGAGACTTGAGAATGCAGAACATTTTGGTAATCTGAATAACAAGAACTTAAGTCAGATGACTCCTCCCCTGGTTCAGTTTTAACAGCGGTTAAGTTTCCGTAACCTTTGGCGGTGACTCCAGAACGAGGAATATCATACTGATTTTGTGTAAAATTAGAGGAATCATTTTCAGGCTCTTTCTTCAAATTTGTGAAGAGTATACTTTCTTCAATGGCTTCAGGAGTGTCATTTTGGTTTACTGAATAACCAGCGCTAAAATTATAGGAATCATCGATAGGCTCGTTCTTGATAATAGGGTTTTGACCCTCTATGGTACTGTCAATATAATTATCTTGTGTTTGTGGAACATCAAACATACTGTCCATGGGCTCACTCTTTATAATGGACCTTTGACCCTCTACAGCATGGTCACTATTGGTAACTTGTGTAGGTGGAACATTATAGGAATAGTCGTCCATTGGTTCACTCTTAATATTGGTAATGGTTGGTTCCATTTCAGTGTTTGGGGTTTGTGGAACATCATCCACGTGTTCTGAATCATTATCAGATTCATACATTTGTTCACTTTTAACAATGGAAATGTCTGGACCCTCCTCACTAAACTGGGAATCGGTATTTTCCTCTTGTTGTGATGTGCTTATAGAATCATTTGTTAATGTTGATAATCCTGATGCTGAAGCAAAGCCCCTCATCACTGAGTCGGGATTTTGCCCAGTTTGAGAGGAACTTGGAACATTGCTATTTGCAAATGGTGAGAAAACATTATTACAAGGAAGTAAACTAGTCTGTAGTGCGTGTTGACTGGTATAATCAGTGGGAGGAGTGGACAGAAGCTTTATAAGAGATCTGTTATTTCTGACACCTTTTGTTGGAGTGGATGTTACAGGCTTAGGGTGTTGAACAGGAGAGACAATGCTGGTGCTTTTCGCGTCTTTGAATGGATCTGAAGCCATAAGTTTAAAGACTTTGAATTCTTTACCAGGATTTGGGATGTTTGATATTCCTAGTTTCTGAAAAACTAACTTTGCCTCAGACTGACCAGATCCCGCAGCAGTATTTCTACTGGACTTACTCAATCTGTGCATTTCCTTTTCACCTCTTGAATCTTCTTTCTCATTAGACTCTATTAATGGAACCTCAGGACTCTCATTATGAGGCCCACTTTGACTGTGTGAAACCTCTTCAGAACATGACGTTGTAAATAGACTGTTTCTGCTCAACTCAGTGATATGTTTATCTGTTTTAACCACTGAAAGGTCCATCTCTCCTTCACTTCCAGTCATTGGATCACCTGCCTCTGTTTCCTCTCTGCCATTCTTCCATTTGGTGCTCATGGTCCTTTGAATCTCTGAATTCACCACTTCACTGATTAGGCTCTCTCTTGTCACCCCCTCCTTGGCCTGCCCGCCCTCCTCACCAGCGATCTGACTCAGAATAACCTCATTCAGACCTTCCACGTCCTGCTTGATGACCCAATGTTCCCTTCCCTGTTTTCTCTTTCTCACTCTTGTTCCAGTGACCCTCTTCTCTCTTATTGCCGGTGAAAACTCTTGTCTTCTTTTATTCTTATCTTGAAGAACCCCTGCTTCCTGCAGGGCTTGTTCTTGAGATTCAGTAGCGATGTCACCGTTTGAAGCACTTGTCGCCTGATGATCTTGAGAATGTGAAGCACTCTCTAGACCCATTGCATGTAGACCCCCCTCATTATCATGGAGGTCAGTCATGTTACCATTATCTGTATCTCCTTCCATTTCTTCAGTCTGTGAGCTGTCTGCATCACTATCAATCTCCTCTTTCTTTATTTTTTGTAGAAGTCCATCACTATTTTCTTGGGCTGAGGCACTGAAAATGCCTGGGGAGTTTGTGTGCTTCATTGTTTCTAAAGGCAAGTCAATTTCTCCCCCAATGGAAGTGTCTGAGTATGCTAAAATAAAAATTTTTGGTTTTCTTTAAAACTGCAAAGAACTGTCTTATATATAAAATGCTGTATGTCTACACAATGCACATGTTTTTATGGAATTCAATAAGCCCTAGGATATTCTAATTCATGACAAAATCAGCCATTATATCGAAAGTGGATCTTAAACCATAAAATTATCATTTGTTTTTAAGGTACATGTAACAATCTGAATACTTGTAATTTTGGGGACTAAATAAATAAGAATATAGGTAGAGCATTCGCTTCGTGATAGGGAGGCCCGGGCTTGATTATCGTTCGCGGGGCCACGTCATATCTAAGATATAAACATAGGTTGTGACGGTTCCTTCGCCAAGCACAAGGCAATAGAAGTGAAAGTTACAGGTCTTTTGAATATGACCTTAAAAATGTAGGTCCCGTGTCAAGGTACGCGTAAGCACGATAAAGAACCCTCACTACTCAATGGCCCTGAGTGCCGAGTATAGGTCTAAATTTGAAGCCCTTCACCGGCATAGGGTGACGTCTCCAAATGAGTGAAAAATTCTCGAGAAGGACGTTAAACAACATACAATCAATCAATCTTATTATCTATGATGGAAGAAAATCAGAAGAACCTGCACTGTATAGGGTGCCTTCAGCTGAATACTGTTATCCAACTATAGATATATTTACATTTCCTGTGTTTTTCTAGTAAGCCAACTGTGAAATTTACTTGAATATCATTTTAGTGTATACTCAAGTGTAGAAATATACACAGAAAAACATGCAATAACGTGATTTCACAATGAGGCTACAGAGATGTTAGTAAAAATAAAACAATATAGGTCAGCAAGAAGATCAAATATTGAGTATATTTTAGGTGCTTTTAGACATGTAAAATGTAAATATAAGGAATGTTTTTAAGTTTAGTGTGAGTTATTGGCGTGTAAATCTGAATCATACAAGACTTGCACGTAGGCATATATTGTTCATGAAGTGCTAGCTTAAAAACTTTAAAACATTCCTAAATTGATTTTGCATGCGAGAAATATCTGTGAGTTCCGCGACCTACTTTTACTTAATATGAATATTTATCACTTTGAACCATTTCTTATTTAATAAGCTTTATATTGGTAGAGAAAGTTTCCTACGAAAGAAAATAAAACGTCGCAGACTGATTGCAAACTGATGAATCTAAAATAAAAGATGACGTAAATAAATGAATAATAGATGGTTTACAGTAGTTGGTTTACAGTACAGAGTGCCGTTCCTACTCACCGTAATCGTCTACACTGTCAGATGGATATCGACACGGTCTACAGTCATGAGAGTCAAACTCCTCCTCAGTCCCATACAGGTGTCTACAGGAGCAGCACTGGTACAGTCTCTGAGGTGTACAGGTGTGAGACAGGTAATCCAGGTAGGAAGCAAAGGTGTCTGTACACCGAGTACAGTGGTAAGGGTCCAGGACGGTGCCTGTGGACTCACATTTACACACACGAATGAACTGCTTGTCTGTCAAAAGGACAGGTGAAATACAGGTAAGGTGTACATACACTTGTTACATGCAAAGGGGGAAAACATTATTTTAAATTCTTGTACAGTATACATAATGCTTGTTTCTTGTAGGCATTTTTTCAAGAAACATATAGGTATTAGGAAAGTTAGGATTTTAATTCGATCAATATTTTAGTATGATTGATTTCAATTAATCCTCTCGATCCATAGAGACTAAAACTTGGATACTGGATGAATGCATTTAAAAATGTTTCTTTCCCTGAATTTTTTGGTTTAAATCAAATCATCAAATTACAGTGGACCTTCAGATATCCGGACTCCAGATATCCGGATGCTTGAGTATCCGGACGACTTTTCATGGGAACAGAACTTTTTAATGCTATTTTGTTTTGTTTAAATGGTAATTCAGATATCCGGACGCTTCACATATCCGGCAAAATTGACTAGGAACCAAAGCGTCTGGATAAATGAAGCTCCACTGTATAATGAAAATCCTCCTTTTTGTAAAACTTGTTTAATACCCAAGTTTCAAGATTATCTCCCTTGTTGCGCTCTTTCGCTGAGGAGGGGAGTTTCGTTGCCACGTAAACAGACAGGTGGGACAGATATTTATTATTTATATATTGGATATATCGATACAGATAATCTGCTGGTTTATCGTCACTTCATTATTGTCAGGATGCACTCAACTACTCGGGAATAACCGAATTAATGTAAAGATATCAATTTTTAAAGCAAAAAAATCGTAACAAAAAAGAAAATATCAGTGGATGCGAGACTTTTTAGACGAGGGAAGAGATATAGAAGACCGTTAATAAATTAAAATACATACATCTGATCATTGCATGTTGGCAATCTAAATTACATATTCTTCTTTTCCTTATTATAACTTTTAAAAAACACTAATTGTTTAGAAAATGTTTGTACAATCAAGAAAATCATAAATTATACAGACTCCACGTTTCTTTCGTTATTAAGTACCTTATAATTCAAAGTAAAATTGCAAATATGAATAGTTGAGCTTGATAAAATCATCAAATGCATCACTGTTTAACATCATTATCTTTCTATAACATTTAATAAATTCTAAAAGCCCTAAATATCGTTCATTTATCCATGAACGTTTGTATACAGAAACAACCTGTCCCACCTCCACGCTGAAATGGATACTTTTTGCACCTCCATCGTAGGAGAGTTACAATCTCGAAACTCGCGTATTGTTTGTTTATTTTTTAAGCACTTTTAAACCTCTATATTGGACTTTCATCTTTACTTAACATCAGGTTAGTACATACCCAGATGCCAGTTTCCATCAATTTTCCATACTTGTTTCTTTCCCCTGAACAGATCCTGGTCACCCATTGATTACAAGTAAGACACTGCACTCTACTCTACAGCTCTCTTCTGTTGTTTGCTCACTTAGTTGTACAGCTGAGTTGTGAGTGTAAAGTTGGTTTTTTTGTGTAATTATAATCAGGAAAAAATAACCTCCTCATCATACTCCATGGCCTGCTGTAGAAGGACCCAGTTACATTGAATGAATGCAGACAGAATCAGATTTTAAAAAAATAAAGTTTTACATGTTTTAGATCTTTTTTCAATATTGATATATAAACATGATAAAGGTGTAAATCAGTAGGAAATAACCCTTCCATGCAACTCTTTATTGAACAGTGAAACTTATACATGTTATACTGTTATAATTTTTAATCTTTCCAGAGACACTACTAAGAGCAAATTTTTTTTCATAGTTTCTCCAATTTTTAAAAAAATTAAACCACTTTAATTTACGATAAAGTGAGACAATATAGCTAAATCAAGCTATATTCGGAATGGCTTGATAAATATATAGAGAATAATACATACCCTTTTCCTAGCGCTGATATTGGTCGAGGGCTGATACAGGATGTGATATGGAAAAGGGTATGTATTAATATGTTTATTACATACTTAAGTAATAAAATACAGCATACATTAGGTTGAGAAGAAAATAAGTAAATAATTATGCATGGACTTCTTACATACATGTATAATATATGGTCTATCGCTCATACGATTTGGGTTTGTTTCTACTTCTATTTCAATGCACTCGATCCGTAATTTGAAAATAATCTATTCGTGTATTTGTAAATTAAGATAACCTTATTTTCAAAAAGTTAAAATTAAGAGAATATGAACCTACCAAAAATTGTGAATGATCACAAGTACTGTTTTTGTGGTTTAATTTACTGAGGATGTGATTTTGACGTCACATTATAGCCGTATCAGCCCTGCAGGGCTGATATGGATTTGCGGGGCTGATATAGGTTTAATATCAGCCCTGCAAATCCATATCAGCCCTGCAGGGCTGATACGGCTATTGTGACATCAGCCATATCGCATATGCAAAAAACCTGTATTTATTACTAAGTGTGTAATAAATATAGCTAAATTATGTAAATCAAGAAATTGTGCTGGACCTGACCATGCTTACCAAGACTAATTTTAGTAATTCATTAAATTATTCAGCAATGATTTAAATTTTTCAAAAAATATATAATTTTAAGGTCTAATCATGAATACTAAAACACATTTCCAAATGAAAGTTGTCAAAGACCGCTATATTGGAAAAGCACTGAATGTAAACACTGCGCCCTAATTTTACAAGGTCGTAAAAGTAGGTCAGATGGCTGCGAAAACATCTAACCGCAGTATGAAGTCAGTTCAATATGGATTCCTGATTTTTATAAATTTATGGGGTTTAATAGTAACATACCTGTTTATTTTATTTATACCAAGTCGTGTCCTGCGCCCAGATAGCTCCAAAAATCTTATAAAATAGGCAACTTTGTGGAGCTTTCCATCTTTAGTAAACACTCAGTTTCCTACCTTCGTGCACTGAAGAGCGCTTTTGAGGAGCGGATCTAATTAAACTCCAAAGATTGCCTCTAGACCAAAGGTATCTCTGTTGTAGCTGTTTGCACAAAGAATAACTTAGTATTTTAGAACGAAGATTTAAGGTCAGGATCTTTAAATGAAATATGCCTACATATTTATCAAAGAAAAATAAATTCCTTTATAATGATGCTTTTTAACTAGCTTGGTCAAATAAAGTGTTTTGGGGCATATTCTTTACTGTCATTTTCCAATGAAAAATTAAGAAATTAGGCAGTCGTGAATATGGGAGTATTTCCATATCAGACAAAGAAAATGTACTTTCAACTTTCCGTTTTCCCGTACTTTACGGCTCTAATAGAATTATGTAGAAAATTATTTTCAAGGAATTCAATTTGAAATTACATGAAAAGTATCGATACCTATATTTAATTTAACATTATTTTAAAGAAGAGGCTATGAACATATAAATTATACTTTTCTGAAAGACTGAAGGCAATTTGGATACATTTGCTTTGTCGAATATGAAAAAAGCACTCCCATATTCATGACTGGTTTTCCTAATGTTTCACTGGAAATGACAGTTTAAAATATAATTTTTGTCTTATTTACCAACAAATTTTACCCCGAAATACCTTATTTGATCTAACTAAAGTTATAAAGCATCATTTAGGAATTATATAATTTCTTAATATAAATTTAATGTTTTCTGTGTAGGGACCTATCATTTACTAGATCTTAACCTTAAACATATGAATGAAAAACTATTTTTGGACTTAAGGGGGATGTACAAGCCATATTAGATCTAGTCTGGTGTAAAATAAGAAATACCAAGAATGTGCTTAATACTCTACTAAACTAGCCCAAAGTTACTCAAAGTGCTAATGCACTAATTACCTACTGTTAGAGACCAAAATTAGTAAATAATTAAGTGTATTTTGTTTTAATTAGGAGGAAATTAATCATGTTAGAACTGCGCAGCTACAGCATTCACGAGATGAAAAATGCATTGAAAATGGTGTTAGTTTGATTCATTGATAATATGGCTACAACTATTTGTTTCGCTTTTTTCTTGTAATTATCCATAATTCTTGAAAATTTGATTTTTCATATGGGTGTATTCCTGAGGCCATGTGTTTATTTCGTCCGCCATTCCTCTGTCACACAGAGTTCGAATAACAATGATTTTAGAATAAATGCGACCATAATAACATCAATACAAGAAATTACTAAGTAATAATCATCAGGTTATATTACTTACTACTTTTATTTGTTGCATCGCATCGTCTGATTAATGAAAAAACGCGATTTTAACCTCACTCCAGCAAATCGGGAAAAACTGTCCTGTTTACAACTCGAAATTCCTCGTTAATATTATTCCACTAAGCACATGGTTGGCATGCGCATATATCTGCTGTGGATAGATCCGTTTATTACCATGATTATATTTGATTTTTATGGAACAAGTCTTGATAATTTGTTGGTTTCTTTAAAACTCAAGAAAAAAAGATAAAAATGTCCTAAACATTTGTGTTTACGGAGGGTCTTTTTTCTGTGGCGATAGAAGTTATTTTCAAATGGGGCACTGCAAGGAGGATGCTTAGCATTTAATTTGAAAATGTTAAACAATATGCAGTGCATGAAAAATAAATTGTAATTACATGTCTTACATTCGAAAAGTTGGTACTTATGTCTATTTTGTTTAGAAGTTAGATAGAAAAAATAGGCAGTTATAGGATTTCCTTCAGGCACCTCACATAAATAGCTAGAATGTTTGCAATGACCCACACATTGTATGGGGTCATGTTTGGACACAAAAAAGCATCATGTCTCATTATGTTGACAACGTTGTAAGCTCTCGCTCATTGAACATACGAAGCTTGATAAAATATAATGAGTTGTTTCTATGAAATTTAGAAGCGAGCACAATGTTTGCAAAGAAAGGTCCATTGCATATGCTAGTCTATCATCGCAAAAAAAGTGAGTGTTACCCCCCCCCCCCCCCCCCCCCCCCTCCGCCCCGAAAATCCTATGTTTGTTTTTCAAAGTAGTGTCAAAGATTAAAAAAAATTTGCATTACTAAGTATGTGATGGAACATGTACTAGCTTTATAAGACCACTTGTTATAAAAATATTTGGTTGCCCTCTCTCCCGATGTACTACCTAGAAATGGCCCGACTCATTTTTTTAACATCCCATTACACGATATTTTTTTCTTTTTCTTCCGTCAACAATTCTGTTTAAATTTTAAGGAATTTTTTTCTCACCTATAAATACGGACCCAATAATTTTTCCCTGAGTTGGGAGGACCACCAAACATCATTTTAAAGATGTTTATATGTTGATTTTTTTCTCTTTACTTTGTACATTTGTAATTTTGAAAATATGGGCAAATAGAAAAAAAAAATTATTCATTAAATCTCCTAACCCACTCTGAATGATTTCATGCCTTTTCAACTGTTGCTCCTCTGTAATGAAAATTGTAAATGCATGTTTATTTGACACAGTATACGAGTGGTGATAAAAAAGTAAACAATATCTTAGGTATTTGATATTTATATTATTGTTGAAATATTCAAGTATTTTTCAAAGTGTAAAATTTTAACTGAAGGTCTTTGATAGCATATTGCTTTAAAAAAACACATCCCTTTTCAAACTTGCTTTCACCGGGCAACATAACAAGTATCATATTTAACCACCTGCCTTCCTTCACTAAAACGATATCCAATCATTGATTGAAATTATAGGAGGCCATTTAATAAACTGTGAACAAATTCTTATACGCTACTTCAAAGGCATTTCTAAGATATACATGTGCCATAAATATTATAGTCGTTTGTTGAACGAGTTTCACTGAGACAACCATTTTTCGTCAAAAGTACCTGAATAATGACGTCATTTTCAGATTGTGACATCACAAACAAGGAAGAAAACTTCAGCATATGCTATTTATAGAACTTGTGTTTGGTTTTGTAGATATAGAGATATTTCGCGAACTTTTTGATAACGCTTCGTACTAGTAGGTACTAAAACAAGGTCATTCGTATCAATTTTATGTGTCTAATTTCTTTGTGTTTTATTGGTGATAATTAAAATTTTAATAGATAATATAATTTATCTGTGGCAAACTTACAAACTCTTAATTTTTAACTTTGATGGTGCTTATTTTTCCTTACCTGGAATCAAAGAGTTTAATTTTTTTTTATATAAATACGTAAACTATTTAACAACTGTTCGTTAATAATACTAAATAAATTACTTCAAGCCACACTATAACACCTTTCCTCTTTTAAAAGTGTTCATATTATTTGAAATATTTTGCAACTGTAATTCTCTTCTACATTTAAAGATTGTTATGCCCCTCCATATTAAGAAGAGGTCTGGAAAACAAGATTCTGTGCTAAAAATAGACCACGTGCTGCTATCCATGAACTACTTTCATGGTTCTTTACACTCTTTTTGAAGACAACGGTACCTTGTTTTGAACTTGAAATTATCATTTAAAAGTGCAAAATTTAGACATTTTCTCAACAAATGGTTGTAGAGAGAACATTTATACACAGTTTGCATATTTTTTTGGATTTTTTAAGGCTCTGCTGAATTCTGTAGCTGCGCAGTTCTAAGGAGCATATCAAAAGCAT